GGTGGCTGGGGCAGACGTAGAACGCCAAAACCAGCAGCAAGCAGAAGATACACACCGGCCCGGCAATCACCGCGGCAAGAGCCACGGGTCCCAGAGATGGAGTCTTTGCAGTAGGGACTGCAAGAAAACAAGCGGACACAGGATATTAAATACACTTAGATACACTGACAAGTGCGAGCACAAAATATTCCAAGAATTACGTGCGGTCTCACCAGGGAAAACGGTGAGGTCAGGGTCCTTGTTGCAATAATCGGTGGTACAGCAAATGGGATAAAGGCCAGTGTCATGCTTGAAGGATGGGGCGCAGATGAAGGGTCGATCCCGCGGGAACAGCTCTTTTTCGGGAACGCACTGGCGCAGCTCCGTTGTCAAGGTGTTGCCCGTCTTGCGGATGTTGACGAAACAGACGCCATCTGTTGTGCAGCTCGAGTTGGCACTGCAGCGCTCGCAGTGACACTGGAGGGCTGGAGGGAAAAAATCAGGGCGAAAGGAGTTACAAATGAGGTAAAAGTGTGTTTTGCCAACATTAGGGAATGGAAACTCCCTGACGGAATGAGACGACACGTCAGTAAAATTGCACTTATACCACACCACGCTCCTTCGGAATGTTTGATGTGACTCGGAGTCTTGCGCCGTCAGACGGACCCCACACTCAGTGACAGAACAGCAACTGTAAGGGGAGCACCAAACTTTTTTTTTTTAATCTGATAGGATGTGCTTTGCTGTTAATCACGTCGTGAGGGGTGAGACACTCCCACCCGTAGCTACCGGTGTGTGTTGGGAGCGGCCACGCAGCAACCGATTCGAATCTGGGACGAAACTCGAAACTCCCGAGATATTAACACGGAGCTGAGACCACCCCCACGAGGCACTCCCAGAACGTGGGAGTGGAGAAGACGGAATGTTTTGATGTGAGTCCAGACCTCCGTACCAAACGGACGCTTGTGGGATCCGTTTGGACATGCTTCATGTGATTGAGTGACCGACACAACCGTGCTTGGTTTAACTGCAGCTTTTCGGATTTGTCATCGCGGGTGACTTAATGATACGAGTGCATGACAGAAATAAGCGCAGGTTAACACGAGCTCCCGCTGTCACACGGCAGAATGATACTCCGCATTCTGGATTTGTGCATCAGCAGTCAGTGTCTTCCTGCTCTCGGTCTCCTCTCAAATAAAAATTTAACATCCTCATACAAAGTATAATACAGCTGTCCTAAAAGGCACCCCCCCCACACCCCCCATTTTCCTTTCAGATATCACTGGAACAGACACGGGGCCATCAGCGACTGACAGCTTCGCCTTTGCAGTTTTTGTAGGCACATCATAGCCTTGCCCACGGCTCACGAATTGACACTGGGAAGCTGCATTGCAAAATTGCTGACTGGCAAGAACATTTCATGTCCCCGACTGCGGTTCAGCCCCAGTTTCGGAAGCTTTACGGCCGTCAAACTGCTCCATAGTACAATTAACATGACCAGTTTCTCGAAACAGAGTCTGTTCTTGATACACCAGGCAGTGGAAGCTTGCTACTACCACCACTGATGAAAAAAAAAAAAAGGAAAAAAATGCTGGCGCAGGTGCTCGCACAAAGCCAGGGAAAGAGTGTGAATCACTCCTCCATTATTGACAAACGTACCCTCGGCTCTTGGGGAAATTAGCGGTTTGGTAGCGACGGGTCTTTCATCTCTTTGGTCGGGTAAACTGACACAACTGTCAAACGTGGGGGGTGGGGAAATGAAACCCAGCGGGCATTCTTGAGGCTGAACGAGAGTCTCCGACGTTGGTGGTTTGGTGCGTCGTCTCCAACACTGGGTTGATTGGACCCTTCTTCTTCCACGATGTAGCCGGTAACACAATCATCAACATTTTTGAGGCCGTTTTGATGAAAGTTTCAAATTGGCACTGAACTGCATGCAGGGACAGAAATGGAAAAAAAGAAAACGATTTTGCAACACTACTCCAAAGCCAATTGGGAAGCCACATGCAGGTCCTTTGTGATGCACTCGACACGTACGGGTCTCTTATTGCCAAGACTGGATTCATGTCGACATGGCCTCATTTATTCATTATCCTTAAAGTGTCCTTCCCCCGAGCACAGACTAGACAGTAGCTCATTGATATATCAGTCGTGGCTGACTAGGTTAAAACAAAAACAACACACCTAGTAGGACAAGATCTTTAAATAATTAACCCGGCAAGACTATGCATAGCCTGTGATATATGGCCGCCGAGAGGAACAGTATGAAAATGACACCGGTGGGATTCTGGTGAGACATCTGCAAAGTGGTGCTACAAGAAAATGTGAAGAAAAAAAAAATGTTGGCAGTCAAGGAATGATTTCATCTACCAGCAGACTTCCTCGTCCTGGAAATGAGGGTGAAGTCCAGACAGACGTTTTTTTTTTTACAAGTATTTGTGTGCCCGTGTGCTGCATGTGATGGGCGGGTCACTGGAAAAAAAAAAAAAAACTAAAAGAAAACCT